GGGGGGGGGGGGGGGGGGCGGTGATCTGTTTTCCAAGGATCGGGCATGTAATGTACTGATTTCAGAATAGAGAAGACTCATTTTCTATGAAATTTGATGGATTCTGGGAGAAGGCTATCGATATTTCCACATAAATAAGGATGTTCAGTCATCTTCCGAAAATACCATTTTTTAATGTTCGAGAAAAAAATTTTGTAACACACCTCAGTTGCACTTCAGCCCTGCTACTCGGACCACAAGGTGAAGCAGAGTGAACCTCAGTAGGTTCTACGGGATCCACCCAACAAACCGTCCCCACAATAGACTCCACATCATCCCTCCAATTGGTAGAAGTATCACTGAGTACACTAGTAGCATCCTGAAGCATCCGAGGGGTCAGTTTGGCCTCAGCAACTGGAAACTGAGTCTCCAGACTCGCCACAGGTGACACTAGGCTTCCATAAGGAGGTCTAGAACTCGGCAGGCTTGTGTACCCACTGTCAGGAGGCAGATCCACGAAACTCTGCACTGGCTCCGGACTCTGACCCTCAGGCATCTCCAAGCTCACAGACCTCGACCTCAACGACACATGACTCGCTTTCCGAAACTTCTGGAGATTCGATAGTGACACCGTTGGATAGGGAAATGAAAAGTCCTCATGAACAGCTTTTAGGGCCACCACGAAGTCATCAATCCTCGCTGCTCGCTCCCTCTCCCTCGCCAGCCAGGTTACCAGGTGGAAATCCAATCTAGCTGCAAATCTCCCCAGATCAGCAAGTCTCCTAGCTGATAATAATCGTCTCGCATGTCTCTGGAGGATTACATCGATGAAAAACTCCTCAGCAGATCCCTCTTTACTCTCAGTCTTCTCAGCTTTGACACTAGGAAGGGACTTCTTCCTTCCCATCACTGCGTTCCTGGTTTTCTCGAGCATCGAAGCACCTGGGGTGGGATCCTTCGATGATCCATCGTACTGAACTTTCGGAGTCACAGTTGTGCTGTAACTCCTGCTCCTGGATACCTGCATGGTTCCGAGGACCAGGGAAAGATCCTCCTCGTGGGGAGAAACTGGAGGCGTTGGAGGGGGTCCAGCGAGTTTTGCAGATCCTCCCCAAGAGTTTCGGGGGGAATCAACGTCGTTGGGGTCTATGGCGCGAAGGAACCTCACTAAGTCTCTACTCAGCTCCCACCTTGAAGAAATTAACACAGAAATCAGATTTTGGAATATCAGAAAAGAGGTTCCTATCCGTTAAGGTATATTCCAAAACAACACCATCAAAACGATAGTCCCTATGGGATTTCCTAAAGAAATTCTAAATTACTTAAGGATGAGTTTTAAAAGTCGCGGAATATTGGAGTGAGATTTCTCATGCATTGAAGATCGATTACATATGTCTAAAAACGAATAATTAGTGCAGCGCTTCCAATTTTTGAGCTACAGAGGTTTTTTTTTTCAAAATTTTTGAAAATATATGTACAATAATAATTACGAATTAGTTTTTTGAAATTCGACTTCCGCACAGCTAATTCCGTTTCGTTTCATATAAAAATTTGCGCCATTCATGTAAAATAAGCAGCAAAATTATCCTTTAAGGATAATCGGGCGAGGAGGAAATGTAGGAGGTGAGACGGATGGGTTTCTATTGTTTTCCTGCAGAAAACCAATTGCTGAACAAAAAAATTTTTCCCATTCGGATTCAAAATTCAGCAATATTAGGGAATATCTCCGGTTAAAAAATATTTTCTGTACTGCTTCTCACGATTTCTCGTCTGTGAATTGGTATTGCATACTTCTCAAACTCGAAAACTTGAAAATCACTACAAAAAAATATTGTCCCGAGCTGCTGCAATGGGTTTTTTTTACTCGTGTGGATGGCCAGTCCTCGCCTTCGGCTCGGACGCAAATATATCATTTAAGGCCCGCGTGTATTATCTTTTGAACGTGATCTTGGTTGTTTTTTTTTATTTTGATAACCTGAAATGTTCTTCAATTGCCATTTAGTTTTCCATAGCCCTGGAGTCTTAAAAAAATTATTATTGTACAATCCAAAAAATGGTGAAAAAAAACTGAACATTTTCAAGGAGCGTTTTTCAATAATATTGGGCATTGCAAGGTGATGTCAAAAGATTATGATCACCATTGACAAACAAAAATTCTTGATATCATCTAAGGCCCGCGTGTATTATCTTTTAAACGTGATCTTGGTTGTTTTTTTTTATTTTGATAACCTGAAATGCTCTTCAATTGCCATTCAGTTTTACATAGCCCTGGAGTCTTAAAAAAATTATGATTGTACAATCAAAAGAAGGCTAAAAAAAAACTGAACATTTTCAAGGAGCGTTTTTCAATAATATTGAGAAATAAACCCAATAGGGAGGAAATTACGAATTAGTAATTTACAGTATCTAATGGCTGTTCAATCGTCATTTGTCTCAGTAGAAAATGTCTGTCAGATCGTTAGCAGCCATAGTAAATTATCCATTTACAATTTCCTCTTTGTCGGACTTATTTTCTAATCTTTATTGAAAATGCTCTTTGAAAATGTTCAGTTTTTTAAATACTTTTTTTGATTGTACAATCATAATTTTTAGGGAGTCCTGCGTGATGTAAAATCCAGTGGAAATTATGATATATTTAAGATTATGAAGATGGAAAAAAAATCGAGATTATCTTCGAAAAATGATCCATCCGGGCCTTAAGTACAATTTTTTGGGTAAACTAATTCCACAATAATTCCCTTAAAACAAAACAATGCACCAATTTACCTTCCTTGCTCCAAAGCGGCGTCCAGCAACAGCGTCGCATGCTGCCGACTAACGGTCGAAGGCTCCAAGTTCTGAAGAATTATCAAATAACTCGCAGCAGTGTCCAGCTGCTGTCTCTGCAGACAATCCTGAAGAAGTTTCTTTGGTGATCCAGCGACCGAAAAGAGGTAAGGCCAAAGAGCAATCTCAGTTTTCCTGGCGCACTGAACAACAGCTCTGGCCCAAACCCCCGGAAATTCCCTGATGAATTCCACCACTGACGGGAGTTGAGCATCGGGTAAAGGCTCTTTACTCGTCGCCTCTTCCTCCAGGACCTCGTGAAGGAGCAGCTCCAGTGAGTGAGGGAAGTAAGGAAGTGCTGCGCAGGATCTGGCGATCTCCCAGGCATGAAAGCCAAGGTTCCTGTGGATTAATTGACGCAGGATCTGGTGGAGGTATACCTGGGACGTCAATTCGAGAAGGGAGAATGGGAGGGAGAAGGGGGAGTTGGTGTCTGAGGTATAGAGGACTGTGTCGTTCTCGGCGCCGAGGAGAATTGCATCCTCGAAGAGAATAGCTAAAGGATAGATGCGAAGGTGGAAGGGGAGCATGATTCGTTTGGACATGAACGTGTGAGCGTTGTCCTGGTGATTGCGGGGGAAGAGAGGAAGCCAGACGCGCATGCCGTGGGCTCCGCAGAAGAGCCAAAGGGCCTCTGTGAGGTGTGGCTTATCGCGCCGGGAGCGGGAGGGCACCCAGACATTTTCCACGCAAGAGGCCAGGACATTTGGGGCGGAACAGGTGAAAAGAACGTCAGGAGTGTCTGTGCAGTGCTCCCGTTGGACCATCAGGAGGCGGCCAGAAACGTTCAGGAGGAGACTCTCTGGGTGTGGGTGGCTTCCAGCTGTCTCTGCACGGATTGTCGTAAGAGTGGCACTGACTACGCAGGCTGGGTGCACGCAGAGACCAGAAATGTCGACTGTCTGGGTGCGAGTCAACTCGATACTTCCTGAACCTGGAATTATAGATTTGATAATTGGAGACTACTTCGTTGATGGGTTTAAGGTGTTTCGTGTGAAAAGTCAAAATAATTAAAAGAAATTGGAAAATTCAGGGGAGAAATGTCTAAGTATGCTGCACCATTGAGAATTTTTGCACATTTTTTTCAGATCTCAGTCTCAAGAAAAAGAATAATGATATTTGGTTTTTTTCCGAGGTTACCCAACTCTCAGTTAGGGAGATTTCCATGGCACCCAAAAAATAATGAATTATTGAGGAAAAACTAGTGGGTGATAAATTAAATCTTTGTTGAGAACACGTATAAGTTTCAGATTTTTTTGCAAATTTCACATCATAGTAACTTGAACAAATGATTAGGAAAATTATGGGTTTCGGGGCAATTATGCCTTCAGGCATGGGCTCGTGATTCGAATGTCAGTGAACATGATGGGAAAGGTATGGGTTGAATCATGCAACTGAGAGAGAGAAAACACTCAATAGGTTCAACTCAACTCGAGACGCATTTTAACATTATTTCAATAATTAGAAAAACAACAAATAAAAATTATTTGATGCCCGTAGGTGATGAGAAAAAAATCAATCAAGTTGATAAATAAAATCAATAATCAAAAAATGCACACTTAAATAGTTACTTGAAAATTGGAAAATTTCGTTCTGAGCGATTAAATGAGGGCTAAAATCGATTGTAGTCATCATTATTCCAACGTTTTAAAATATTTTCGAGCGCAAAATACGAATGGTAGTATAGAAATAACGAAAAGGTCGTGCTAGAATTGAGGTTTTTTGTTGACACAGACACTAATGATTTTTTTAGAACAACTAAATCTACTCTTGCGACGAAAATTTTCCATTTCCGAACACTTCAAATGTTCAGCTCGAGACTTTTTATTTTATAACAATTTTCAACTTCACAACTTGTTTGAGAACACGTTTTTTTTCTTAATATATTATTTACCTTCTTCCCCTTGCAGTGCCATATCAAAAATACTGACTTGTCCATTAGCACAGAACGTTAGAAGTCTTTCCTTCATAGTATTCAAAAGAAGCACCTGAGAAGGCATTCTAAAGGTCCTGACATAGCTATTATCCAGCCTCGTATCCCTCGGATAAATCCTGATCTCATCCTTGTCCTCCAGTAACGAATAACTGCTGGCTATCATGAACCCTCGATGCCAGAGCAGTCCTCCAGTGACGATAAAGTCCCTCTCCTGGGTTTCATTCCCAAATAGCTTCCACTTCCTGGATTGCAATGAGTAATGAGCCAGACCAGTTCTCCCAGCCACAGCTATGCTCAACCCCTCGTTATCTATCGCAGTATACTATATATGCGGTTGAAAGCATCGTCAAGCAGTCTCTTTGCACGAAAATAATTCAGCACATGCTTTTGATTAATTTAATATGCAACACTCACTCTAATCGGCCAATTGGAGCCTGTGTAGGTGCTGGGGATTGGGACCACGAGCCACTGCTTCGATCCAGCCAGCGTTTGTGATGATGAATCATTTGGCATGTCATTGGTCAGGTGAAAGCCGGGGGTGTTTGCTGATACGCCTCCCAAATTCAAGTAAAGACGATCCTCTCCTTGAAGATACAAGTGCCCATGTCCCTAAAAATACCGAAATATTTTTCGATTTAGATGTACAATCAAAACAAGCGCCAAAACAACAAACACAATCAAACAACAAATTTCACTTATTCTAGTTTATCACTTCACTACAAATTTCTTCTGTGGTGTTTCCTTTTTCTTCTGAGGTTAAATTTCGCACATTCCGGTACTATCGAGAGATTTGAAAGAACTCATGAAATGTCCATACACCTTTGATTAGATTTATCGATTTTTACATTTAATTTCCGCAGCATTGAATTTATGAAATTTATCTGACGTTCGAAAGAAAAGAAAATATTATAATCTTACCATGCAAGGATTCACAGTCAACGGGCTCTTCACGAAGTCCAGCTGCACCACAGACTTTCTCCCACCACCTCCCTCCCCATTCCCATTCTGCTCTCCATCGCTCCCCCCAGGTGATTCCCTGAGCATCCACAGTTGATACCCCTCAGCACTCCACTCCATAGTCCTGACCTGCAGAGGATTGTCCCTCCCCAGGTCCACATGTAGTCCGTAATCCCACTTTAACGTACACAACAACAGGGCCCCAAAAGTGCTCCATATAGCCAAGCCCCCACTCTCCCAAGCTAGCGCGATGGCACAGCTGTCAGGAGTCCACCTTATACACTTGACCCTTCCAGGCTTTCCCGGATAGTCCTTCGAGGACAAATTCAGCACATGGGACACCTCAAGCGCCCCAGTAGTCTCATCTACATAGTACACCACTCCCTCTCCATTTTCTCTTCCAAATGCAATCAGTCTGTATTTATGATTGACAGCAGCACAAGTCGCATCCTCCAGGTATCTAGCCCAGATCCCCTGGACCTGATTGGGATCGAACTTGAGTGATTGGGCGGTTAAAAATGCTGCTTTTCCATTGCTGAGGACAATGGCGAATCCCCCGACCAGTGGAGAGTACTCTATATCAGTTACATGAACGTTGTTCTCAGTGATTGGCAGAGCGGGGGTTGAAACTTGTTGATCTATGCTAAACGGGATTCTCCTGAGGTCGAGGGAGTAATCTCGATTGGCAGTACCCTCCCACCGTTGTCTCACTATGTGACTCGTCTTCGTGGCGACCATCAGCTCATCTCTGATGCAAACCTGTTAAGACAGTTTTGATTACTTGAAGGAACGTTAATCGTATTAATTATCGTTGCTAACCATTCCTCAACTAAATTTTAAACTCAAGGTTTATTCCGTTGTTTGAAATCGGATTTGGAGGGGAGGAACTGTTTTGAGATGTTTCAAACGGAGATTGAGTTCTATTAAAAAATGTAATGATTGGTTTCTTCTTCAGACTCTGCTGCTTCGAATTTGTGAAAATTGGGGGAAAAAAAGTAGGCAGGGAGGAGTAAAAAAAATTTTAGTTTTAAAACCGATATATTTTTTGGAATAATGGAATAATACCCATAAATTTGATTTCTATCCTTGTCTTTTGATAGAATGAATAGGATACATGACAGAAATTAAGTAGGGGAGGTTGGGGTAAAACGGCCACTTTTGACTTTTTTTTAAATGTTAATGAGGGGTTGAACTGTTGATGAAATTTAATAATTTTTCTCTCAATACAAAGAACAATTCTTTCCCTTTGTGACGAGTCTAAACTGAACTCAATTGATAAATTTGTTTCTGAGTTATGAATAATTGAAAAAAGTCTAATATGTTCATTTTACCCCACCCTTCCCTATTGGAGACTAAAAATTTTATCAACAATAAAGCTCATCATTATCCGAGAAATGTCAACATGAACAAACCAGTGAACTGATTCCCCCATCGATCCACACTGGCATGACAAACACCAGACTCAAAGAGGGTATGACTTCCTTAATGAAGAGCTCCGCAGAGTCTCTCCGCAAACTCGTCACAGGCGAGTCCTTCTGCTCGTAGAGACCTCTCGACTCTCCAGAGGTGTCTGTCAGACGATAGAAGAGGAGGTAACTGTCCGAGGTGGCGACCACCAGCATCGAGGAGTCCGGTCGCCATTGCACTAGAGTATTCTCGCCGTATTTATCTATGCAGTCGTCGGTTCGCCTGCTGAAGACGATGGGCACACAGGGCTTACAATACCAGATGGCTAGGGAGGAACGGGTCAGAATCGCGAAGAGGATCTTGTCACGGTTGCAGGTGATCGCAGTGATGGAAGAGGATGAGGGGGTGTTCAGGACTCGTGGCCAGCCGAGTGGAAAGAACATTTTTTGTGAGCTTTATTGAGGGAGGTTTAATTGAGTCTATTGGATTTGTTGGTCACATGATTGGGGAGGTTAGACTGAGAGGTGGGTCAGTGGGTGGAGGTTCCAATGATTTGATTGTTGGGAGGGATTTCGAACATCTGAGGAATTGTTTGGGGTCTAGGGGCGGTAGTTACTGTTACACTCTTCTGAGATTCGATAATTCACTGGAGCAAGAGACTTTGACAGATGATCAGAACAACACACAAAACTGAACAGAACAACACGACACACGACCAGAGCTACACGACAGATCCGATCAATTAGCCCCTCATGTATAGATATTCCAAATTTTTATTTTTTTCCTCATTGAAGTAGTTTTGAAGAAAATTGCGAGCTAATAAAAAACATTTGCTAGTTAGTACTTTTTTTAAAATAAATTTTTGAAAAATCTCCTCTGAAAAAAAGGCATTATCCCCTCTATTTCATTATTTCCAAAAAAATTTGTCACCAATCGATAGCAAATTGTTTGAAGATTTTTGCGATTTAAGAAAAAATTGGCATATTTTTATATGGAAAGTGTAGTCGAAGACGCACATTTTGTGAAAAAGTAAAAATCGGTTGATTTTTACGGAAGTTACAGGCATTTGAAGATAAAACTTGCAAAAAAACATGGCTGCCCACAGGATGCCTCAAAAAATCTGAAAAAATTTGAGAAGTCATATTTTTCCATATACAACCACAGGAAAAATCGGCAATATGATTGGCGATGGTGAGGGTTTTGACCTGGGTGAGTTCACATGGAATACCCCATATATAGTATATATTATATGATATATACATATAAGCTATGTTATATATGTATTTTTAAACTACAATACAAAATTAACTTCTCTTTCTTCACAATTACTGTAAACAAAAGAATACAGAACATGAAAAAATATACAGAGACATCATATTACATAACTTGATGAGCGAAATAGAGACTTCAAAAATCGTGCTCTGGATTTTTTAAAAGTGGATTCCCACAGCATTTCTGAAGAATTCCAATAGAATTCTCTAGTGAATTCGCTAAGGTTTTCTATTGATTTTTTTTATAGGTGTAGCGTTTCAGATCTTGTGACGTCACAGGATATTGTTGTATCGAATTTTGGTGTAGGTGAGAGGGAAATCCGAATGATTCTCGATATTAATTTACAAGAAAAATTTATTGAAAAAATGAATAGTCCAGACCGGGCATCAAACCCATGACCTTCCGATTACAGTTTAAACTATCAAGGGCATAATAAATATTATAATCACATCAAAAATATTTGACAAAATTTTCATTATAATTATTCTATTTGAAATGGCTCCTCCATTAGGGAAAAATATTTTTTAATAAATGGTGATAGTCCTTCCACCGTTAATGTAAAATTATTTGATATTTACTTCATTATTGGACCTCAAGGCCAAATAAATTTCCATTATTACCTAAATAACATTGATGGCTACATTATTGCGATGTATAAAATTACTTGACCCCTCAGTTTTCATGATCGTGTCTTCAAAATTCTGATGGCTGTTGTACTCTCGTTCGCAAACGTATCAACTGAACACTACTTGGTGCATTTGTACAAACTCAATTGACTTCGAATGTCGTCCATCGTGGCATTCGGAAACATGTCCCTTCGATCTTGAAGTAATTTGTAAATTGCTGCTAACGATTCGGACTCTGACCTGAAAAAAACATCCATCATTACAAAATCGAAGCGATGGCAGAGAATCTGCAGAGGCAGACTTTTTCATATCTTAGATTTCTCCGGAAACGATGATGATTGCATGGACGAAAAAATTTCATAAAAACACCTAGCGCATTCATTAGGAAGTTCTATTAAATTTCTATTGAACTTCTATTCGTTTTTTTCTATTACTTTTTCTCAATACAAACAGCTTATTGAGATTTCTCCACAGAAATTCCTTGGCATGATTTTAAAAAAAATTTCTACTTAATTTTTTACTTCTCTTGTTGAAAATCGATTTTCATGAAATACAAAATTTTTGAAAATTTTCGAATAAATCAAAATAACGGTTACTGCGATTCCCTTCATCTTCAAACTCGGTCAAAAGGAACATCCAAACAATTTTTTTTAATAAGCCACCAATCAATCAATTCAGAACATTTTTTTTAGTTATCGTGGGACAACCGATTTTCGAAAAAAATTAAAAATTAAAAAACTCATCGATGAACTCAATTTTAATTAAAGGCGATCGCTAGGGCTCGACAAAACCTACATTTGAAAAAAAAAGATTCAATTCCATCCATTCATTAGCGAACAATTGAAGAACGACTTTACCACACACATACGTACGGAGACGGTCTAAAAATGACTATTTTCGTCCTTTTTGGCTCATGTTTGGGTCGATATAACACAAAAAATCAAAAACTTTAATTTGAACAATTACAATGCTTCTATTCGAAAGCAGCAATGAGAAAAAACTTGAAAAAAATTTAAAGGAATTTTTTACAGGAAATATCTCAAGAAGTTGTTGTATGGAAAGATCCAACAAGACTTTCCATAAAAGCGTGCTTGTTTAAACATAATTTCTGTTGAAAAAAATGCGCATAAAATCTGTGCGGAAAAAAATGCGCGGAAAATCTTTTGGAAAATTTTCAGATAATAATGATGAACGTAATTCCGGAGACCAAGTTCACTTATCCTAATCAATTATTTCTGATGACCAATAATGCCTTGCCACGAAAATATCAAAACATCATTCATAGAAACTTTTGTCAGCTCTAAAATCACTCGTCATGGCGATAATTGCATGGCTAATGAATTAATTGAACAAATTGAATTATTATCACAATAAATACCTTTCCTCTTCTAATTGTTGTTCAGGTGTCAATTGTTCTTCGATAACTTTCTGCTTCGCTAATTTATAACGTGCCTGAAGACCAAAATCCTTCGCCTCATCATTTTCAATTTTCTGACATAAAAATGAAAATGAATCGTTGAAATATCCACTTCAATCTTAATTATTATTCATTCGTTTATTCAAGACCAGATTCTCGGCCAGTTATAGGGTCAAACTGTGATAAAATGTCTACTTGAAACAACAAATTTACACATACATACAACAATTCAAGTATAAGATGGTGGACTGCATGCCTTGAATATACACAACATATTTGAGGAACTCTTCATGTTTTGATTCATTAATTAAGTAAAATTCAAACCTTTTGTTTTCCTTCGCTTTTTTGAGTGAAAATATATGTTGCAACAACAGCAAGAACAGACGTGGCGACACAGTAGATATAGAACGAGGGTAAATTTGGAAAATATCTATTCCATTGGTCCAATAATAAATCTATCATTTCCAATTATTTTTATAATAAATTTATCATCTAAAAGTTATTTTTTAATGATCTGTCAAGTTGGACGGAGGTTATGTTATCCTAATGGCTAATCGAAGTTTCTTATCAGGTGATGACACCGTTTTCCCCCACCTGTGACCTCAAACAAACATTAGCCATGTAAATCTCGAAATAAACACACATTCATCCTTTCCTTTCGTCAATTTTTTATTCTACAATTTGCTACTCGAAGCTTCCGTTAATAAACAGATAAGAATTAGATAATAATTTATAAAATTTAATTACATTTTCAGGAAGAAATTTTCGAAATTCCCTCCTCTCCTTAGTTATTATCCGTGGAAATTCGATTTCTTGGAATACGTCTTTATAATTTTAATTATGATGCATGATACGAGTGACTAGGTGTCGAGATGATATCAGTCAACAATTTCACAAGGTTCATCCGTGATGGAAGGAGATGAATGAATTTCAAATGTTGTTGAATTTGTCCAGATACCACTTGTGACTCCTCATTGTCGCCAGGAGACCATCTTCAAGGACCATTGAGTCAGTGGCTCCGAAATCTAGTTGGGTGTCTCCTGATAATGAGGATACAGTACCTCCGAGTGCCCTAGAACGATTTATTCCATTACCTAAACTATTTTAAAAATGCTTCTAGAGAAAAAAAAATTGCTCTATTGAGACTGTTTCAGCAAAATTTTCAGACATCAATTTATCCCAATAACGGATTATTTTTAGAATATCCAAGTGTCTTTTCCAATTTGGTATAGACCGCACTATAGATTCAACCATTTTCAATCATCAAATTTGTCAATTAAATTTTGGACGAAAAAGTGAATACAAAAATTATGAATATTCACCGTCATTCAAATTACGTTTTGCACCAAATTATTATTTTTTAAAGATGCTGTCATTCCAAAGATGGAATGGAAAAGATAATTTATCTATAAACTTCCAAAGAAGTTTATAAATAAATAATTGAAATTGTTTAAAATTTCGGAAACGTTATTTTTTTAGACATGAAATCGATTTCTGATAAAATTCTGAATATGAATAACTTTGTTACGATTTCGAATAAATGACTTATATGATCGAAAATTGATTGCTTATCAATGATTAATAAAAAGTGCTCATAATTTTCGAAAATTGCAATTTTTTAACTACTTCATTAATCTTCCTCCAAAAGTAAATTTTCTTTTTTTTCAGACTTTAAAAATGTTTTCTAACGGTTCAATATCGAAATTCAAATTCAGACCTTCAAGTTTAAATAGGAGGGAGTGGGGCAAAATAAAACGGTCGAGAAATGCCTGTTTAACGCAATTCAAGCAAACAAAATTTTGTTTTGTTAAAATATCCGGGTCAAATCGAGCTCAAATGAAAGCTCTGGTGTTAAACTACAAAAGTAGAAAAGGATTTCAGTGGGTAAAAAATTGATAAAGAACTTAGAAATCCTTAGGAAGAAATATCAAGAGATTTTCCCATCTCATAAATTTCAATAAGCGATTTTCAATAAAATAGTATTAGTGAATGTACTAAAATACTGGATTTGCAGGATAATTCTATCGAATTGGTTCTTAGCTGATATTCACATAACAATAATCCCATGAAGGCATTTTTTTCAGAATTGATTCAATTGCAGAAATTGCCTCATTTGAATGTTATAATTTCAATAGTATTCCATTTTTTACTTGATAATGGCTGCTCCAGCACACACATCCCACTTCTTGATGGCTGTCATATGCACGTAAGCAGTGGCATTGCCAACTGCAACTTCCAAGAATTTGTATCCAGCACCAGCAGCCGAAATTATTTTCACATTCTCTCCTAGCGCGGTTTTGGAAGCATTGTGGACTTTCCCGGCGTGGGATCTTGAAACGATTAAGATAGGGTCCCTCGGTACTTTTTTCTGTGAATGAAAAATAACATTTATGACATTACGCTTGAGATTTAAATTCAGTCAAGAAATATTGAAAAAACACAGCCTAATGTGTACAATCTTTATCTCACTTCTATGCATATCCTGTGAAAGAGTACACCCAGGGGGATTAAGCGTATGAATCACGTGCAACTCTCCATTTCAATAATATTTTTGTTGGAAATTTATGAACTATTATTTTTATTCTAATGTAAATGTTTTGTGAATAGATTATTACACTAGAATACATTCGCTTTCTTGGGCAAAAAAAGTATGATTTCATGTTTAATTAATGAAATTGTTATTCGGATCAAACAAGTATTGGTTTATATGGATAAAAAAATTTTTGTACTGCGTCTCACCATTTCTCGTCTGAGAATTGGTATTGCATACTTCCCCAACTCGAAAGTTTGAAAATCACTACAAAAAATCTTGTCCTGGGCTGCTGCGATAAAAAAAAATGTACTTACAGCAGAGAAACTTTGTAAATTCTTGGAAGATCCATGGAAAGCCCAAGCCCAGTACGTCTGCTTGGGAATGAAGGGTTTGTGAATAATTCCTATGACTGGAACGCCTTTCACAGCGATGCAAACCATTGTGGTGACATACTCCAACAAGTTTTCTGCAATAACCAAACAAGAGTTGAAGTATTTACTAAGATTTGGATGAGATGGGGGCGAAGTGGAACACTGGTGTAAAACGGGTGTAATGGTGAATTATTTGGGGTTTTTGACCCTGTGGTTGTCTTGTTGTTCGATTTTGACCCATTCGCCCTATTAATTCCTCCAGAGTAGAGGAAAGACTCATGTCTTTCAACGGAAAGTAAATCTCGTGTCTTTAGCAATCTAGACAGATCAATTGATAATTTATTCGCTGTATTATGAGTATTTTTATAAAAAATTGAAGGTTTTCGTGGCTGCACTCCGCCTTGTTAACGATTGAAATGGGTTCATTTAACTCAGAAATTTTTAAAATTTTAGGGATATTACAGTTGAAAAAAAAGAGAAAATTTCAGATAGCTGGAGAGAACCACTGACGTGGAACCCAAATAAGCATTTTTAGAATTTTATGAGCTCGTATTAAAGAATGCGATTTTTCGATTCAAAAAGTACAGAAAAGTTTGAAATTTTTGAACAATTATTGTTTATTGTTCTATGCATATCGTTTAAACGTAAGCGATTCTGAGAGTTTCTCTAATTGACGAATAAAAACTATAATCTTCATCTTTTCAAACGGCGGAAGGGACATCGAAACAATTTTTTTAATCATCATCCAATGAATTCAGAACATAAAATTATTGTAGGACAACCAATTTCTGAAAAATCTCTACAATTCTGAAAATTAGTATATGAATTAAATTTGAATTAATGTCGATGGATAGAGCTCAACAATACCTCCATTTGAAAAAATAATATAAATTCCACCGATTAATTCGCGAACAATTGAAGAAAAAATAGATCACATACATACGAACAGGGTTTAAAAATGGCATTTTCCAACTTTTCGAATTATAATGGGTAGATATAACCCGAAAAATCCAAAACCTAAATTTGAACGATTCCAAAACTTCCATTCGAAAGCAATAATGCTAGAAAATCACCTGTATATTCTTTAGTAGCATCGAGAGGATCGATCCAAACAGTCACATGCTCCGGATCAACAGCGACGTCCCACCCCGAGTCCACCTGTTCCAAAATGGTCGAGTCCTCAGTGCCCCTGGGCATGACCACCTCATCGCAATCCTTGCTCCTCTCCTCAGAAATAACCGTAACCGAGGGAAAAGTGGAGGACAAATAATTGTACATGGTACAGTGGGACCTGTAGTCCGCCAATGTCACCGGGTCATCGATTCCCTCCTTGGTCTTCCCCTTACTCTCAATCCCCAGCTTCGACTTCTCGTGGACCCCAACCACCTCAATGCCCCCGATCTCAGCTGCTTTGATAGCGCCGGCTAACAACAATTTCAGAGAAACAAAATCATTACTCGACTTTGATGCAAGGTACGATGACTGACGAATTGCGTAGAGGTACAGGAGAATCAGGAGGATGACGGTTATGCATAATCCTAGTCTATGAATCCTTAGATTAGCTCCTATGTTTATTGTCATGGTAAATTGTTCAAACTATTTCACTTATTCTTTAGTTTTTCCCGATGATTAACTCTCCACTGGACTCGGTTATCATCAGACTCATAACAAAATTTGCCATTCTACCGCCATTTTTAATTAAACTCACAGCACACGAAGCAGTGACGTTTCGTTTGAATAGAGTTTACCTGCGCAGTGAAGAGGTTGAGCCAGTTATTCTGCCGCAGGAGGGGGTGCGGTAGGAGCAGGTGTATAGGACTGTTAAAAATTTTCGTCTGAATTTTCCGTGTCAAATCCTGGAAATTTTTATCGCGCTCAATTTCCATGAAAATTTCAGACAATCTTGTCAGTGAAAGAGCAAATATTTCATTTATTTTGTTGGAATTATCTGAATATGAATAAAATACTGGATTTTTCAGTTCAATCACGGACGAAAAAATTTAATAGAAAAACCTATCGAATTCGTTAGAAAATTCTATTGAATTTCTATTGAACTATTCTATTAGTTTTTGGCCGATTCTATTGAAATGTTCAATAGAAAATATTCAGTAGAAAACTCAATAGAATTCAATTTTTCTATATAACTTATTCTATTGAGCTATTTTCTATAGAATTTCCTCGGTTCAAATTTTCTAAGTTTTTTCGTTTGATTTTGAGTCGAGCAAATTCTATAGGAAATATATGAAAAGAACATGTCAATAGAAACAGCCAAAAACTAATAGAAAGTTTAATAGAAATTCAATTGAATTTTCTAACGAATTCGCCCCTATAAAATTTTTTGTCGCAATTGTCGTGGGCAGGGATTCACGGACGCGTAGCGTCCGTAAAATAGGACATTTCGTCATCAGGCAGAAAAAACTTTTCTGGCGAATATGATTTTGCAGCCCGAGCCAAAGGTGAAATTTTTTTGGGATTAATGACCGAATGTACTACACGTGAATTTTCCGCTTCTCTTAGATTATTCCGCGAATATCTTCGGAGTGAAGCAGTTGGCCAAACATTCTTGATAAGGTTTTCCATAGATAATTTAAAGCCCTACAAAAAACTTTCTCTTCTATTTCCCCCTAAACCCACAAGTGTTTGAGATATTCACAAAAAACTCCTTACAATTATTTCTTCTTCCGCTCTTCCCCTCTCAAATTCCTTTCCATCATTTTTCATCAGTTGGCACCTCTGATCATCCCACAAACGAACGCAAAATAATTACGCAACAATTTCACATTTATTGCAACAACTCTCTCCTCAAAACCCCCAAGAACCTCTAGAAAAGCCAATTGTCTGGAACAACCCAACGAAATCAATTCAATTTGCAATCCCTCGAGTGACATTTTCCCATCAAATTCCCGTCAACAGTCAAAACATAAAGTTGCGCGCGCGCATCTCTAAAACGTTTACCCCCCTGGCCATTCACCAACACCTTTCTATTCTCCTCTCACACACATCATCCCGATCTCATACTCCGGCCAGAAATGTCAAAATGGCGTCATCACAGGACGCTTGGTATCTCTCACTTTTGGGTTTAGCTGAGAATTTTCGTACCTCAAATCCGCCAAATATTAAATCATGTATCCAGTGTTTACAAGCGGTTTTTTATTTCAAACCACCAGCCCGTGTCGAAGCAAGGACTCACCTACAGCTTGGAAATATTCTACTCACACACACGAAAAACACTGACCTAGCGCGTTACCACCTAGAACAAGCGGTTTGTAATTCACATTATCAATTAAACTACTCGATTTGGGCTTCAAAGAGTCCATGGGTTGTTAGTGAACCCGTTCGACAAGTTTTTGGGAAGATGTTGGAGGATTCTGGGGTGTCCTAACCTGTACCCCTCACTTTTGCAGTGGGGATTGAGTCAGAACATAAACACATTCGACGATGTCAAGTTCGAGGCTGCGAGCATGATTGGGGAACTGGATCATCCCAATCTTTCGATGCCAATTCTCAGGAGGGCTATCGAATTGTCACAGCACAATGTATACTGGCACTGCAGGCTCATCTTCCAACTCGCAGTGAGTATCGGAGATAAACAAAACATAAATTTCATAGCGAGGGATTCGTTCCGAGGGAGAAGACAGTGTGTCGAAATAGATGGGCGGACGTCATATTGTTGACAATTTAGTTTAGGAGCGAGTGGAGCAAATGTTAATAATTCTAATAATGCAAATATTAATGTTAATGACTCGTTGAACTGTTGATGAAGCGGGATGATTTGTTTTTCATTGAAAGTACACTTCTATCCCTTGTGATAAGTTGAGACTGAAACTGTTTCTGAATTATGAACATTGAGAGAAAAGTTAGAATAGTCCATTTTTCATGACCCTTTAGTCTCAACTTTCTTCATAGCACAGGGGGAGTAGATGATTGCAGAAAATAAACAGAGTGATAGATTTTTACAAGTAGCATAAGCGAAAAAGAGGAAAACAAACTTTCTTAAATTGTCAATAGTTCATAACTAAGGTGTACGATTTGGAATAAATTAGGTCTCATTTTACAACTAAAAGAAATAACTTTAGAATTTTAACAAGTCAGGAAATTACACTCTGTCATTTTCGAGTTATGGGTGATTAAATGATCATTCATTTTACCTTTCTCTCCCCTGTACTTAATATCAGAACTACAAGTTTTGAAAAAAATGAAATCAATTACCAGATTACAAGAAAAATGGTTTATCAGATACCAAAGTGGATTTCATAGCGAACGATTTCTAGGGGAGTAAACGTATCTTGAAACGGATGAGGGAAAGTTATATGGTTGATAGTTTAATTTAGGAGCGAATGGAGCGAAATAGACATTTTACTTTCTGTCGTTAATTTTAATAATTAGTTGAACTGTTAATGAAGTGAAATAATTTTTTCTAAATAATTCGTTTTACCTCTAGCTCTCTGACACTTAATATTTTCTTTCTCTCTCGTATACCCTTTCGGGTCTACAATTTGTTCCCTTCCCACCTACCAACCACCTGTACCGCATTCGCCGAAGCACAAAGGAAAACCTCACTTGAGTCGTCTCTTGCGAGACTCCCGCGCGGCAATGAAACTGTGAGATTCAGTGTCACAAATCTGGCGCCCCACCCGGGAAGCGGTTCCTAGACTTGAGGGGTAACAGAATGCCCTTAATTTTCCAAATTTTTTAACAAATTTCCTGCTGAAAGTTATCGATAATTCAAAAAATCGAAGCACATTAATCTCCAGGACGTGATGATAAAGATTAATGTGCTTTGGGTTAAAAAAATATCAATAATTTTGAGCAGGAAATTTGTTTAACAATTTCGAAAAAACGATGGCCTTCTGTTACCCCTTAATATTAGGACTATAAGTTGAAAAAAAATGAAATCAATTATCAAATGATAAAACCAGTGACCTGACAGATACCAACAAGGATTTTCTAGGTGGACCTCTAGGGGTGTGGAAGTATGAACCAAATGGGGGGAAGTCATATTCTCAATATCTCTCAACCAAGGGATACGATTTGGATAAATAAGAACTCTTTTTACGGCTTAAAAATAATTAGAGAATGAAAAATGAATCAGCAAACTACATTCTCTTTTTTCTCAAGTTATTGCAAAGACGATCTGTTTTACTTCACTCCTCCCTAGACTTAATATGAGAACTATAATAGTTGAGAAAAGTCGAAAATCAATTACCAAATTATAAAACCAATGGTCTGAACAAAACCAAGAATTTGTGGTCTCATCTTCTTTAGTTCTTGAATAAAGAAATATAAGTGTCGTAGTGTTCTCAGCAGTCCCACTGTTAATAAATAAAGATGAATCACCACTATTTTATCCATTCCGTAGAATAACGGGGAAAAAATTTTTTTTGCCAATGTTGACCAAAATTTCTTGGCACCACCTCACGAGAATCACAATCATTCACAACAAAAAATTACAGTTTGTTATTTACAATTTCTTATTGTTTATTTTAGAAAATTGCACACAAAATTCTTTAATTCAAAGCATTCGAATAACCTCGGATGCGATTCTTTGAGTATTAAAATATTTCCTCTTGGCCAGTGTACGTCCATAAAAAAATGAAAAACTTGTATGACATTGAAAAATATTAGTTTATGATGGACGCATTTTAACGAAAAATGTACATTTTTTTCAAGGTAAGATATTATATCTGTGTAATTCGGAATCTCGTCAATAAGTAGGTTTAAGGAGAAATATCAGAAGTTTTAACAGATGATCTTGTAAAAATGTTAAAAATGAGTCGATTTATAGAAAAAAATCTGGGAAAAATCTGTCTTGCAGTCGATTAAATGCTTCACAAAATGGTCTCTTACCGATTTTTCGGCAATATAGGCCCCAGACAGTTATCCAATCGACAAACATTCCATATTCAACTTCAAAACGCATCTTTTCATTATTTATTAGCTCTTCACTTGTAAATTAGTGAAGAGCTAATAAATAAATAAATAAATAATAATAATAATCAATTGATAAAACGCTAGAAGAAAAATGAAGAACTCTTTTTTTGTAGTCCAAAATGGCTTTTACGTACTCCACAAAATTCCACTCATTGAAACGTGAAAAATCAAAGTTCCTATTTTTCCTATTCCATTTTTTGTTATATTAAAATCACCTTTTCTCCAGCAAATGCACGCATCCGCCAGAGACTTCATCGCAGCCAACGGTCTCCTGGACATCGGCATCGACTACGCCCAGTTGAACAACGCCAGCTACACCCGAGTGCTCTTCCTCCTCAGCAGATGCATGCTCCTTCTGATCGACAAGAAGTTCAACGAGGTTCACCCCCTGCTGAACACAGCTGGACGATGTGTGGACACGTGGGAGGGTAGTATCTACCAGAAAGAGTACCTCAAAGTATTTTTTCTCATGCTACAAGTGTGTCATTACTTAATGGCAGGACAAGTTAAAAGTGTTAAACCGTGTTTGAAACAGTTGCAACAGAGTATACAGACAATAATGTCACCACAATGGCCAACGGACGAGGCTGTAGCTGGCACAAACATTGGTGACATGTTTATTTGGATGCCAAAGGAACATTTGTACGTATTAGTTTATCTCGTGACTGTTATGCACTCGATGCAGGCTGGATACATGGAGAAGGCACAAAAATACACTGACAAGGCACTAACGCATATTGAAAAGCTCAAGAGTGTTGATAATAAACCGATATTGTCGGTTTTTCAATTGATGTTGCTCGAGCATATTGTCATGTGCCGATTGGTGATGGGGAATAAGAGTGTGGCACTCACTGAGATTGCACAGGCCTGTCAGCTGTGCAGGAAGCAGACGAGGCTGTTGCAGGGGCATGGACCACAGTTACACACGTTGCTGGGGCTTTATGCAATGTCCATGAACTGCATGGAGGCTGCTGAGGCACAGTTCATTGCTACATTGAGAACCACGACGGAGAGGGAATTGTGTACCTTCGCCAACCTCAATTTGGCTATTGTTTATTTGAGGACCAAGAGGGATCAGGATCTTAATGAACTGCTTGACAGGATTAAACCAGAGTCCTTACCACCACACTCACACTCGCTGAAGGCTGCGGCGTATTATGTACAGGGACTGCAGGCGTTCTTCGGAGCGAGATACAATGAGGCTAAGTAAGTTTTCGGGGTTTTATAAGGGAATTTCAGGAATAGTCAAACTTTAAAATTTCAGATTTCCTTAGAGAAGAGTCTTTTCAATTTTTTTTGAAAATCTCTGCGTTCTCGGTGACAACAGGAATCATTGGAAAATTGGCAGTTTGTTTTAGTTTTATCAAAAAATATAAAAATAGATTTTTCGGGGATCTTCCAAAACAGGATTAAACATTTTTTGACAAAACTCTACCATCTTTCTGATGAAAACATTTGGCTGAAATTCGCTGTTTTACTGACATTTCATAGGATTTCGTAGGCGAAAATTCACAATTTGATGAAAAAATCAATGGCAACTGTAAATTTTAGTTCAATTATTTAAGAAATTCATTTCAATTATTTAATAAATAATGCTTAAAAGTTTGGAATTCCAGTAAAATTTGGAATTTCATTATTTTTTTCGTTTAGTCGAATTCAATGTCACTCTCTCGAAAATTACTCCTAGACTATAGACAATTTATTCCTTTGAAAGGATCATTTGGGAAATTTCGTTTCACTTGTTCTGAAAGTGTCTCTAGAATTAGTAGATTTATTATGAAGCGAAGAGGATATTTTTTCATAGAGAATTTTAGGTTCTACAAAAAATTAGGAATCAATTTGACTTTTTTAAATTAATGATTTACGCCCCTCGCAAATGATGAAATTCGACTAAATCTCATGTATTTCCCGATGATGGCACATCCTTGCTCGCAAATGAACCATGACGACAACAATGGCCACCCTGGGAAGAGCCCGAGGCCTCCCGGGGTGCTGAGGGAAATACAAACAAAAGAAAATTTATTATAATTGAACATATGGGGTCTTGACCTTTTTATTAAAATGATTCTTCCAAGATAACTGCACTATTCAATTCTTATATCCTGATTGAATTTCCTTCCTTCACTGATCAATAACTAAATTATGTGGGTAACAAGTAATTTAATGAAGAGAAATTCCACGAAAAAGTTTTCTATGAAAAAAATCTCTATGAAATTCTCTTTAGTTTAGACCGAGTCAGCCAATTCGTTTTGGACTCATGTAGTTGTATCAACGCAATTAACCACTGGATTGATTTAAATTGGATTTACTGATTGTTCCAGGAGGTACTTGAGAGAAACATTGAAAATGGCAAACTCTGAGGACCTCAACAGGCTAACATCGTGCAGTCTGGTGCTTCTTGGTCATATTTTCCTGTCTTTACTCAATGAGAGGGAGTCGATGAACATGGTGACACCTGCCATGCAGCTGGCGTCGAAAATCCCTGATGTGCATGTTCAACTGTGGGCTACAGCCATTCTCAAAGGTAATCTATCATTCCATTGAAATCAAAATGCTGGATTTGTAATTATTCACGTCGAAGTATTGAGTAGAGACGTTATGACATAGCAATGAAACGATTAGCAGTATTATGGCGGGGTTATTCGGCTAAAAACATTGGAATTCGATGATATCTCGAGTTTGTATTTGCCAAAGCTTTACAAATTTTTGGTTCGTTCTCAGGAGCGTCAGAATCTTTTCCATTACTCATTGATTAATTTAAAAAATTTCACACAATATTGTCTGCATTTAAAACGTATTCATATAACATTTTAAATAATAGTGTGCAAAATTTCAAGCTTTCCTTTGATTTTTGGCAAAACCCGAATGTCGTATAAGAACTCATGTCAAATTTCAAAAATTGCTGTCTGATTGGATTGAGCAGGTGAAAAACTAAAATCTGAAATTTTATAGAATTTTCTTTACATTTTTGACTCTCCGCTATAATACTCTTAACCAAATAAGTGGTGATTTGAGAAGAAATCATCAAGAAATCTCAGAATAGTCAAGAGAATAGAACAATCAAGAAGATATTTTCCTCTGATTATTCTAGTTCTAAAATTACTTTAAACCCATTATTATCAAATTTCTTCGCTTTTTGGGTGGAAACCATTGTTAAATATGTATTTGTCTTTGGAACTGGAGGTTACGAACAAAAATTTAACAATTCTGTGTCTAAGCAAATTTTCTTTCTAAAGTTTTGCAATAATTTCTCCTGGAATCATTTTTTATCCAAATAAATGAGTAGAGACATAAATTTATTGGTTTTATGGTCATCTAACTGTTGAATTGATCATTCTAAGAATTCGGTTAGATTTATCGTTATTTTACCCTTGAGAATGAAGCATAATAATTTTTCTATTTTGCTTCTTATTTTTTTTTGGCAAAAACCAATAGATATTTTCATGACAGAATATTTATTTTAAACTTTAATTGCTATAAAGATATGAATAAATGCATTTTCAATCGTCTATAAATGAAACAATTCTTAAAAATCTTCCCTTCTTGATTGCAGATCTGTATCATAAAAATGGCAGTGGAAGTCATGAAAACGAGGCATTCCAGATGCACTGTACATTTTCCCAAACTCTCCTGAAAGATCACTTTCAGAGTTCCCAAATGCCTGAACACACCCTAATCAATTGGACAGATGGCCAGATACCAGCCCTACCATGTAGTACACCCCCCTCCACCTCCAGAGCGATTCTCTAACGCGTGCAAGTGATAATCCCAACTATTTTTTATTTTTGCAAATCTACTTAAATTATTATGGACTTGCACCACTCTCTGTAATTAAGACAAAGGCAGCTCGGTTTCTCATTACATTCGAAAAAAAGAAGTCAGATCGATTTATTGAATTCGAAAGGTACAAATTTGATTGATAGTGAAAATTTTCTAAGAGAAAATGAAAAGAAAAAACTTTTTGTCCTGTAAATTATCGTAATATTTTTCATTTATGTCTGTTAACAGAGGAATTGTTTTTCTCTGTTATCCGTGAGCCCAGAAATAATCATAAGCCGTGTAATTAATATACATAATTATTATATGAAAGAGCGAGAGAAAATAACAGAGTTAATGGATCGCCTGAAGGGGCCTTAACGTCTTTAGTCGCTCGAACATTTACCATTCTTCATTCCATTGAGTTTTGCATAATATTATGAAGAAGTGGAAATTGTTCGAGAGTCGGGCGTGCTGTATATAGAGAAATTACTTTAATTGAAATAAAGATAAAATAGGTAATCGTGAAACTATTGTAGTTGATTTACTTTTAGGGTTGTTTAGCTCAAATCCTTCTGTTAGGGAGTCTACGTGAAATGTTTTCGAGTTCATTTTGTGTCTAGGAAAATTATTGGAGAATATTTAAAGTACTTTGAGATACTTTTCATTTGGTAAAAATGCTAAATCATCATGTTCTTAGTTTTTCTCTCGGTTTTTAATCAATTTTCAAAAACTAAATTGAATCATTTCAAATAATTTTAGGGAAGAAGTTGTGGAGAGTAGAAGATGTATGTGGATTTGTACGATATCTTGCAAATGTAAGATTTGGGAGAATTTGTCGAAGGACAAGATTTATTGGGGATTTTCTAGCTACAGGAAAGGTCACATGATAGTTCTTCCCAACATAATTTAAGACTTAATACATGAAGGGAGAGTGGATTTCGAATATAACAATTTCGTTAATTAAACGGATCATGGGGAGTGCTAAAAATGCAACAAAAATTGAATTTAAAAAATTCAGGTTTGAGATTTTGACACCTTACAGTCATCCACGAATTTTAAAATGACTGATAAGAACCGTGTATACAATAGTACTTTTTTGAATTTTCCAGAAAAAGCAGAGAAACACTTGAAACTTTGTAAATTATTCTTCAATGTTACATGGAAATGTTTTGGATTTGAAAAATATTGTGTGGAATTTGCCAAACTATTTAACCGGAAGGTATTTTTGAGGAATTGAGATTTTTGGTTGTGATAGGAGGGCTTGTGATAAGTGATATCCTAGAGGTCGTGCCAAAAATTTTGGTCAACATTGGCGAATAAAAACTCGAATAGTTCTTCGTCAGCCATTACGAATATAATTCAACAATTGTCTTAATTGATATCGTATTTAATGTGAAATTTTGAATTTTCAATAATGAGGTAAATTTAGAAATGAATAATTCGAGGAAGAAATGTTGAAAGATCTTTTTTTGCAAAAAATTCAATGTACCATGAACATTTTTTGACATTTTTCTCTTAATCGATTAATTTCCAAGATATTTGCAAAATAATCTGCCCAAAATTGATAGATACTCCATCTCCTGTTCTCCACTAGTTCGGTGCAGAATAATAATGATCGGAATACTGTGACTCTTAATTAAAAATTACCGCCGTGTGAAGACCTTACGACATGCTAGTCTCTTAAAGGGAAGACCAAGTGAATTTCGTAATGATTATACTAGTTATGAGTGTGAAGTTACATGAGAAATACAATGAAAATAGTTACATGAGAAATATGAAAATGATTCGAAATTGAAAAAATGCGTGGTATATGGTTCATCATTCTTGTACAGGCTGTTTTATCACAAATGTATGTATTTTTTAACATAATCCAACAAAAAATCTGATTTATTCTCTGTTATTTCTCTCCAACAATGACATTTTCACGGAAAATCAACATAGGAGGGGAAAAAATCAAGGACCTTTTTGAAGAAAAAAAACAATCGTAAATTTATTCAACTTTACAGGTATTTTCGTCCCAATTCGGATGTACAACGGCGATTTAGTTACAAGAAAGATCGTAGTTGATTTGGTTACGACTATCATTGGTGACTACAAAAACGATCCATCGGGTTTAAGCTTATGGTGATGACTGTATCCTAGATTATCGTTTCATTACTTCCTGTACCAGACTTGGGTGGTTTGCATTCTCTTCACCTTCTTCTGGAGTTGGAGAATACCGTATAGAAGTGCCTCAGCTGTTGGGGGACAACCTGAAATAATTTCCGACAATTTAATCATTTCTTTCGTCAATGTTTTGATGAATTATTTGAAACAATTAGTAATCATTTGTCGTGAGGGCATTTTTCAATACTTTCTGTAGCCCAATTGATTTCGCACTGTTTATTTCTGGTAGCGAAAGTTCAAGGATATTTTTAAAAGCTGTAATTTTTTTTTGAATAGTGTTATCAATAAGTGGATTATACAAAATGATGAGAATGATGAGAGATCAGTCTAGCGGAAAAAAATAGTCGATAGTTTTGTATCTTTTCAATGAAGAGGTTCAGAAGAATTCATCAAACTTTGAAAATTAAATTTCCCAAGAAAAGCATTAATTGATGATTCTGAGAGAAGGAATGTCAACTGTTTTTTGGACATTTCGCTTTACACCTTTCAATTGCACAGATATTTGCAAAACTTTGCATGTTTGACACAAAAAAATCATTTTTGTGATACCTGCCTAAAAAGTGCACTTTTCGAAACGGTTTATTCTGCGTAAAGCGATTGTTTTTCGCACGGCGTGCGTAAAGTTCACAAAGGGTGCGTAAAGTGAATATTATGCACTCTTGAACACAAAAATAACCCATATTATCCACAATAACCCACATTACCGCCATGACCGTTCCGAACAGTAAACTCGGTAAGTACCATAAGAAATAGGATGTGTTAGACGTGCGTGTGAAAAAGTGGGACTTTACGCACTGGTAATACAATAGTATATTGCGATACGATTGCGGAAAAGTGTTTTTGGGCTGGTGGGAGGTTTATAGCACGAGCCGCAGGCAAGTGATATAATTCCACGAGTCTAAAAACACTTTTCCCGCGAGTATCGAACCCTATTTTTCATCACAATGTGTGGGAAGTGGGGTTTTAAAATGTCACTTTACGCAGCGTGATGAAATATACTATTTTTGATAATTTTTAACAAACGATTTTTTTGGCACAAGTAAGACTTATTTGAGAACTGCTATTTTTCTCTCAGTATAGTGTGGTCTGTATCAAACTGTGAAAGACACTTGGATATCCTTAATTGAAAAAACTTACTCAATTATTAAAGGATTAAATAGAAAGCTCGGAATATTTAATCATCTTTACCAGGTACGTAAATGTCCACCGGAATAACTCGATCGCACCCTCTGACAACTGAATAACTGTAGTGATAATACCCTCCTCCATTAGCGCAGCTCCCCATGGAGATGACCCACCTGGGTTCAGGCATTTGATCATATACTCTCCTCAGTGCAGGTGCCATTTTATTCGTGAGTGTTCCAGCTACAATGATAACATCAGCCTGCCTGGGCGATGCTCTGAACACGACTCCGAATCTGTCCATGTCGTATCTGGGAGCTGCAATGTGCATCATCTCCACAGCACAGCAGGCGAGACCGAAGGTCAATGGCCAGAGCGAGCCCTTACGCCCCCAGTTCAGGAGATCGTCCATACGGGCCAGTGCATACTCTGCCATGTTGTTGGTGTTCTGGAAAGGACTGTAAGGGATTTTCTCCCTTTTCGCTGGAACTGCGTCGCCTTTTGTTTCTGGGGTTGTGGAGACATTTTGAATGTGGGTTATTGAGGGGACGAGGGATGTCTCGTAAGTGTTTGAGAGGATCCTCAGTCCTTGCCTAAGATTACCTAGGAACAAATGAAAAGTTGGGATTATCTTTGAAATGAGGAGGCTCAAGGGAATTTCGCAAGCAACATTTTTTGCAAATCAGGTAATTTTTTTACGAAAAAGGTCTCTGAGTTCTTCGATTTTTCTGATTGTTCTAAAACAATTCCAGAGAATAGGAAAGAGACTCTTCATGCTCCAAAATAAACTCTCGACTCAGCACTTGGAAAGATAAAATCTTAAATTTTGATGATTTGACAGGAGAGTTGTTAACAATAGATTTTATGGGATTGCACATTATTTCATCAACAATATCAACGTTTTATTGCAGTTATATAATTGCCAAATGATCGCATCAGACTTTCGACACAACGTAAATATTGTTGCGAACATTGTGTAGGTTATCCACCCTTCAAACTTCATTTTATTGGTTTTAAGCCCATGATAATTTGATTCGCGGTTTAAAATGTATTTAGAACACTTCAATGGGGAGTTTTGATGATAAATCAAACTTTACATACGTGTAATTGCTAGTGAAGAAAACATTTTTTCAGCTTTTGCGTACGAGTTTGTACGCTCTGGCTCCGAACTGTCTTCTCTCACTCCCGATCCGGTATCGATACTCACTGATATCGATATTTTGGCTTCGATCTTCGATATTTTAGTGTCGATGTGTCGGGTGTATCGAGCAGTGTATTCGTTAGCAGTTTGAGATTGGATATTTTATTCACAATGATGAAATTCCTTATACCACGCGTGGGTTCTCTGGTTATGAGGTTATGTAATATCAGTTCAAAAACAAAAACAGAGGATCTCCTTGAGTGTTCATCATTAAAATAGTTTAGCACCGATGATTGTTATATTTTCATGATGATATTGTTAACTTGTCTGACTATTGAAAGATGCACCAGACGTACATATCACTGGGTTATGAGCTGAGAACCGAATTGTCTTGCAACAATTGAGTTCAAGTTTCCCTTGATTTTTTTGGATGAAGAAAAGTTGAAGGTAAGTAAAATAGAGCATAATATAACTACAAAAAGTTGATGATCATTATCTATAAACAGAAAAAAACTTCCCATGTAGATTTAAATCTGTCCCCATTTTTCCTAGAGAACTTGTCCAAAACAGAATGTGTCCATCTGAAATTGTTCAAAAGACCTCCACCACCCCATGAGTAAGCGGGAAAATCCTTGCGCACCATCTTTGCGCACATCAAAAATGGCTAACAAATCCTGAGGCTTTGCCGTTCGTCTCCGGAGTTTATTCGAAAATCAAGGGTAAAATCGTTGAAATAATTCTTAAAAATGCTATAATTAGTTGACAACAATGGACAACAATAGTTTGGTCATGAAATCAACGACTATTCTGATGAATTGCGGGTGTTGGAACGCAAAAACAAAAATTGACAGGAGAGAATGGGGAAAATATCTGCGCAACATCTCTGCGCACATAAGAAATGGCCGACTAGTCTCGAGGCTGATGTTCGTCTCCGGATTTTATCCGAAATCAAGGGTAAAATCATTAAAATAATTCTTAAAAATGCTATAGTTAGTTGACAACAATGGGCAACAATAGTTTGGTCATGAAATCAACGACTATTCTGATGAATTGCGGGTGTTGGAACGCAAAAACAAAAATTGCCAGGAGAGAATGGGGAAAATATCTGCGCAACATACCTGCGCACAACAAAAATGGCCGACTAGTCTGGAGGCTTCCGCGTTCGTCTCCGGTNTTTCATGATGATATTGTTAACTTGTCTGACTATTGAAAGATGCACCAGACGTACATATCACTGGGTTATGAGCTGAGAACCGAATTGTCTTGCAACAATTGAGTTCAAGTTTCCCTTGATTTTTTTGGATGAAGAAAAGTTGAAGGTAAGTAAAATAGAGCATAATATAACTACAAAAAGTTGATGATCATTATCTATAAACAGAAAAAAACTTCCCATGTAGATTTAAATCTGTCCCCATTTTTCCTAGAGAACTTGTCCAAAACAGAATGTGTCCATCTGAAATTGTTCAAAAGACCTCCACCACCCCATGAGTAAGCGGGAAAATCCTTGCGCACCATCTTTGCGCACATCAAAAATGGCTAACAAATCCTGAGGCTTTGCCGTTCGTCTCCGGAGTTTATTCGAAAATCAAGGGTAAAATCGTTGAAATAATTCTTAAAAATGCTATAATTAGTTGACAACAATGGACAACAATAGTTTGGTCATGAAATCAACGACTATTCTGATGAATTGCGGGTGTTGGAACGCAAAAACAAAAATTGACAGGAGAGAATGGGGAAAATATCTGCGCAACATCTCTGCGCACATAAGAAATGGCCGACTAGTCTCGAGGCTGGTGTTCGTCTCCGGATTTTATCCGAAATCAAGGGTAAAATCATTAAAATAATTCTTAAAAATGCTATAATTAGTTGACAACAATGGGCAACAATAGTTTGGTCATGAAATCAACGACTATTCTGATGAATTGCGGGTGTTGGAACGCAAAAACAAAAATTGCCAGGAGAGAATGGGGAAAATATCTGCGCAACATACCTGCGCACAACAAAAATGGCCGACTAGTCTGGAGGCTTCGGCGTTCGTCTCCGGATTTTATCCGAAATCAAGGGTAAAATCATTAAAATAATACTTAAAAAAGCTGTAATTAGTTTGTAATAATGGAGAACAATAATTTGATCATCAAATCAACGATTATTTCGATGAATTGCGGGTTTTAAAGCGTAAAAACAGAAATACACATGAGAAAATAAAAACGTCTGCGCAGATTAAAAGTGGCTGCCCTGATGTTCCTTGGCGATGACCGCAGTATTGTCGAAGAAATTACTCGTAAAATCGCCAAAAGTAATTGACAATCTGATAATAAATTAATTAATAAAAATGGACAGTCACAATGGTACAAGGCAATGGTTGCATAGTTCGATAAATTACGAAACTTAAAACGACATGAACGTCTCGAATGGTAAAAATCTGGAATCTCCATGTGACCGACGTATTTGTGACACCAAGAGATGACGCCTGGAGGCAATTCTGGACGAATCCAGTGTTTGCGGACAGTTTTGATAGATTCAATGACTCTTTAAAAAATTCAAAACGTGATAAACCTAGTTGATGAGTGAAACCAGTGGACACAGGAATTTATTAGAATGTTAGTGTTGTGAATTGTGATGATGTTTTCTTTTGTTAATCAAGTGATAAAGTGCTCTCGGGAATTTCTTCGTCGATGTGTGTATAAATACGTAAGATGGCAGGTTCAGTCATGTTAGTGCGGTTTTTAATTTCGAAAGTGTTTAGTGCAAGTGATTTTCACGGGGACGAGCTTCTGGAGGCATTGGAGAGCATATCGACGTCTAGATGAGGATTTCAACGCCCGGTGAGTCAATAAAAATTACAATTGGAAGTTGACATTTTTCAACCGTCAATATCTCGAGAATGACTGGCGCGATTTCAACAAATTTTATTTCATTTCATGAAAGCACTGAAATGATTCTATTTTTTAATTTTCGAATTTTGCTTGGAAATGATGTAAAATGGTCTAAAACGTAAAAATCCAAAGTTTTACGCCTATGCGTGTATGAGCGACTGTCCACCTCTGATAATCAACTGTTAGAAAATCGAAGAATTAAAGGAGAAACCGATTTCAAAATTTTTCAAATTTTGTCAGGATATAGGTATGAATAAGGATTCTGTCGTAAGGTGCTGCCCAATCGGGCCAGCTGTTTTTGAGAAATCTCCATTCGTTTCTAAATGCTTCTTTGCAAATTTTTCGAAAACTGTCTAACCGATTTCAATAATTTTTTTTTCAAAATATTCGTCTCAATGTCCTCTATTTTAATCGATCAAGATATGCATACCCGTTCAGGCAAAATTTCCAAGATATCGTAATTGTTCGGTTTTTCGCTCAAAATGCTTGTGCGTACTCTAACTTTTGGAAAAATCGACATATTAACTTCTAATTGGGCATGTTTCCGGTTTTCATTAGAGCAGTAAATTTCTATAGTCAACTTGACGGGACGGGAAGGGGCCCGCTTAACAATGAAGAAGAACAATGATCGGACTCGTTTATGAATGTTATTACGAAGTAAAGGCGTCATATGCCATTTGGGTTCCCTATAGGCCGATACAAGGCTCAGAATTGCGTTTTTCCTTCTCCTACAGCCTATAAAATAGGAATTAAATTAATTTTTTTTGCCATTTCGTTTTTCGCGATTATCTCGGAAACTATGAGAAATAGAGCCTTAAAAACTATTCCATTCGATTCCTGAGCAAATTTGGGTTCT